TTGGCTTTACGTTTTTAAAAGGTGAGTTTCACCAAGAAAAATTTTCTTTCAAACTTTATGATTTTTTAAAATATATTGTAAATAATTAAATTAAAAGTTAATAAACTCAGTAATGCAATTATTATTTTTTTGGATATGTGGTAAAAGTACTAAGGATGAAGGATAACTAACACAAAGGAATATTGAAAATTTGAAAGCAAGATTATATAAACTTATTATTTAAGATTTATTAGTTCTGCAACAAAAATCAACATAAATTTAAAGTTCCTTAAAAACATGACAGAATTTCAGCCACAGCAGTGTGGCAGTAGTGCAATGCTCTATAACGCTGGAAGCCATATCGAAGACTGGAACTTTCCCCTAGTCAACCTGTACATACCAGGCGCACACGTGCCCGTGATTCTAGCTGGTTTGGAAGGCTGAAGGAGAGTATCACGGCATGAGAACTTGTTGAGGGTGCTTGTCTTTCTCTCTCTCTCATGAAAATAAATAAATAGATAAACTTAAAAAAATGAAATCATGAGTGTGACTAATTGATGCTTATAATACAAGGGTATTTCAAAAAGTTTGTGGAAAAATGGAATGAAATAAGTTTATTTTAGTGCAAAAAATATAAAACTGATGCATAGGTTTCTTATTGTATACATTTTCCATAAGCTTTTTGAAGACACCCTCATATGTCTCTTTTTTTACTAAAGAGTGCCTATACTATTAAATATGTAATGACCTTTTCAAATTTAATTTTATCTTGGCATGCGGAATCTATACACTTGTTTATTTTGGCAAGTGAAAGAATGAAGTAAGAGTGAATGATCAGGTACAGCCAACAACTTCACAGTTATTCTAAGTGTTGCAATCCATGGAATTTGGAGTCTCGGGTCAGTAAATCTAGGTTAAGTTACTTTGAGATGTTAAAATCTGTATTTTTATACAGATTTCACATAAAAATGTCATTAGAAATCATAAAATAAAACCACAGTTATAGACTTCCACTTCTGGAATTCTTGAAGTTTCTACATCCCTTAGAACAACACAATTTGGACAGTCTATTCTATGGCTATTTACTTGCTGATGAAACCCACATCCTTACCTCTAGCCCAAACCCTTTTCTCAAGTGTTTATACCTCCAACTGCTGCACAGACATCTCCACCTGAGTCTCTGAAGCCCCCTTAAACTTGCTCTGCACAAAATTGATCTCCTTATCTTTTTAACTGTTCTGCTCTTTATTCTTGTTTTACATTAATGCATCACTTACCTAGACACCCAAGGAGTACAGCTAGACTAGTTCCTCTACCCTCTCCTATTCTCCTTCCCTATTTATTCAGGTACTAACTATGCCAGTATTCTTTCCTAAGTATCTGCTAAACCAAGCTTCTTTCATTTACCCCAATGGTCAGGCCCCAATTAATTTTTGTCTAGATTATTGAAACGGCTTTGTAACTATGTGGTTTTCTTTTCAGTTTGTCCTCGAAAGAGTAACCCTCCACAGTGTCATCAGAGTGACTACAGAGGGCAAACTCCCCAGCACAAGTTTCTTCAATTGCTCATCCTCAGGATTCAGAAAGTTCTTTGCCACTTGTCATTGACTTCCTTTCAAGTCTCAAACTTTAATATCTCTTATAATAAAGTATGTTCTTTGTTCTGCTTGGAAAACCACTAATTAATTTGTTTAATAACAAAATACTTATTATTAGGTATACACTAGTTACTTTTTTAGAATTTTGAAAATATAAAGAGAGAAAAGACATGAGCCTTAGCTTCAATCAAGATTTCTCATACAACTTGCCACCATACACCCTTGTTTCAGTTTTGGATATAGGATGTATAAGATGTCTGTGGTGCCTCCAGATAAACTCCTAACTCTTTTACACCCTCCAATATTTCAGTCTCTACCATAGAGTCCAGATAGTCAGTATATATTAAGTGTATACATATTTCTTTCGTAGCCTGGCTTAATTCACTCAGTAATTAATCTTCCATATATGACCACTTTCTATCAAATGCCAGAGTCTTCTTGTTTTTTTGTTTTGTTTTGTTTTATTTTTTAAGACTGAATAGTATTCCATAGACTATATGCGCCACATTTTTCAATCCATTCATCTGTTTGTGGACATTTGGGTTGGTTCCATGTCTTAGCAATCGTGAATAATGCCACAATAAACATTGATGTGCAAGCACTTTTCCATCTTGGAATTTTCCCCTGTCCTTTGTGTAGATACCCAGAAGTGGGATTGCTGGATCAAATGGTAGTTCTATTTGTAGATCTTTGAGGAACCTCCATATTGTTCTCCACAGTGGCTGGACCAATTTACATTCCCAACAGTGTAGGAGAGTTTCCCCTTCACCACACCCCTGCCAACACTTATCACTTTTTGTATTTTTAATCTTTCCATTCTGAGGGGTTAGGTGGTGTCTCATTATGGTTTTAATCTGCATCTCCCTCATGATGAGGGATGTTGAGCATTTCCTCATATGCTTTTTGGCTGTTCGTATATCTTCCTTAGAGAGATTTTTGTTCAGCTCATTTTCCCTCTTTTAATTGGGTTAATCATTTTTCCCCCAGGTAAGCCATGCCATTTTTCTTTTTAACTGAGCATTATTTTATGAGTCCTTGGATGATCATTTATTGCTCTTTGAAACCATTTTAAACTTATAAATCATTCCCACATGGCTTTTCCACAATTTATCAATAATTCACAATTATCCTTTATTTAGCTAAGTTTAACATATCATGATTACAATTACAGTATGATAAAACATAGTGCTATTGTAAGAAATGTTGTAATAACATCCTCCTAGATAAACCACTATATATATATATATAAATAAAATTCTTAGAATAGCTCAGAAGCATAAACATTTTTTTTCTTAGATTTTTTGGCTATAGGGTGCAAATAGTCACCAGAGAGACAGAAAGCAAGAAATCATCTCCCAGGGGGATGGCCATTCCACAGTCCCTTTTCTTTCATTCTCCTCTTGGGATCTTTGGCATGCATACACACGTACCTGGCATGAGTTTTAAGCCACTGGGTCTGGGCGTTGAACTCCCATCCACTACATGGTAGTTTAGCAACATAACCATTACGCTATCTGCTGATCTCCCTCCCCTTGTTTTTAATGCCAGAGTGTAAATTTGAGTGTCAGAGAAAGAGAAAGAGATTGAGAGAGGAAAACAAAAACAAAAACAAAACAAAAACAACCTCAATGGAACTGGTCACACTGCATCACTGCATTTCCTTTTCCTCGATTCCTCTATCCCATCAGGATCTTAAGCATGCACACAAATATGCCTACATTGTTTTTTCAATCTTAAGTGGCCAGTTGAACTATTTTTTGAACTATGGTCAGCCACTTGGGATCCAGCTCCTTCCACATAGCACCTAACCACTGTGCTATAGAGCTAGCCAAAGTATAAACTTTTAAAGGCTCCAGATCCACATACAAAAGTTTTCCAGAAAGTTTATATACATTCACATTTATTTCCATGTTAAATTATAGAAAATACTGCTTATCACTGCTTAAAATTTATCTTCATATAGAAAGGGAATTTATATGTATTTTTTTCTAGAAGTCTAAAGGAGAGTGATTATTATCATTACTATTACTTACATACGGGTTGGGCATAAATAGTCATAACTATGTAGCAACATGGCCACATAGCTAGTCTTACACAGTTCTCACCATAACCCTATGACGTAGGTACTATTTTTGCTATTAAACTTGGGGAAACTGGGGTTCAGATAAGTTAACATTCAAACAGCCCATTTATTAAAGTACTGCTCAGGAATTTCCAAGCCCGTATGAATCTGACTGAAAGAAAAATAGCAGGTAAAGAGTAATTATTTCATACTTTCCCTCCTTTTTTTCTCGCTAGTATACAATTTGATAAATAGTTCTTAATGAAAGATGTTATATCTAGGTGTTTCATCTCTATAAGTTTCAAATTACCTCACTTGAAAACTAGACTAAACTAATTCAAGTGAACTGACAACCCACAGAGGTGGTAAGGAGCCTGTTCACAACACAGATGGAATCTATTTCTGAACTTTAATCTTTTCTTTATTTAGAAAAGTACTAGTATTACTGTATAACATGATCATTCTTATTTAATGGCTGTTCCTTTTTTTTCAAAATTATTTTATCTAACTTTATTTTATTTATTTATTTGTTTGTTTAAATTTGAACAGAAAGGGACAAAAGGACAGAGAGAGAGAAAATGAGAAAGCAAGTCGCCAGGTCCAGGACTCAAAATGCGGTCAGCCATGTGCGAGGCCAGTGCCTTTAACCACCATGCCACCTGCAGGCCCCCGATGGCTGTTATTTTAATGCAATGTAAAAAGGGGTGGTACAAATAGGATAGTCTTTAGAATTGTCATCTTCAATGCATACTGATTTTTATTCTGGTTAAAATGAGAAATTTGGGACCAGCAGACGACATAGTGGTTACATTATTGGACTCCCATGTAGTCAACCATGGTTCAAGTTCCGGATCCGGTGGCTTGAAATTCACACTGGGCATATGTACATGCGTGTCCTAAGTCTTAAGGAGAGAATGGAAGGGAACGGACTGCCATATGGCCATCTCCCTGAGGAGTGACTTCTTGCTTTCTATCTCTCTTCTCTCCAGCAAGCACACATGCCCTATAGTTAAAATCTCTGGGGTTGGGGACAAATTCTGGGCTTGCTGTGACATGGCAGGTAAGGTAGATCCCACATGACCAACAGCATGGTTTGAGTCTCACTTGAAAAAAACATGCTGGGTTCATGTATACGTGTACCCAAAATTCTAAAAGGAGGGAGAAATGGAGAAAGGACTGCAATATGATGTTCCCTATGGGGAGTCTTTCTTGCTTTCTCTCCTCTTTTTCTTTCTCTCTCTCCTCTTCTCTCTCTCCAATCCTCTTCTCTCTCTTTCTCTGTCTCTCTTTCTTTTTACCCTCTCTCAGCAAGCACATGCACTCTAGCAAGGTGAAAAAAATTTAAAAAGACAAATTCTTACCTTAACTATTAATCCTTTTGAGTCAACCAACCATATCTTTTTGATGGCTTTTTCCTTTGGTAAGCCTTCTTTTTCCATAGCCATAACAATCAAGTGTGCAATCCCTAAGGCAGCCTGAGAAAGAGGTTATGAAAACAGAGATTTTAAAAGCTGTTCCAGATGCTATCTTATCAAGAGTTAGATTTCACCCATTTTTGCCTTTGATAATAAGGAAGTACAAAATGACACTGTCTATTGAGCTGAAAAGCTACATTCATTAATTTACACTGGGAGAAAGTATTTTTGTACCATTTGAGTTAAGTAAGATGGCAACTATATTCTCTTTATTACAACGAAATCAGTATCATGTGGCTTGCTATTTGGTCACAGATGAACCAGTGAGATCCTTGTTTGTCAGTATCTTTAATCCTATTAATATGAAAAAGATTTGCTTCAATAAGAAAATACTGAGTTTAAAATAGTGAACTGGTCAGCCAAGCTCACTGGATTGTATTGTTTATTCTTCAAATCAAGCTCCTCTAATTGAATGGGAAGAATAAAGCTTGGTCATTTGGATGGGAACTTGACCAGTTAGGCAACAGAATAAAATGGACAAATATATGTTCCTGAGTCTTTATTTACTCTATTAGGACAAAAAAGTGCCGTGAAATTCTTTGCAAGATTAAAGAAATCAATTCTTTTGGTATTTGGTAAGTTCTGTGATAATTTATAAAATTTACATTATCTTTTCAGGGACAAACAACTGCCAGTTTTGAATCATCCAATCACAAATACTTCTGCCCTGCTGAATCTCAAAAACTGGCCTGTGCCACTCATTAAAACCCTTTGAAAATTCAAGGAGGTTTACTACAGTTAAATACAGCATATAACAATTCACAAAATAAAGGACTCAAATCTTACTGAGCTGTTATTTATCCTTGATATTTCATATCTTGGCAAAATGTTCTAGCTTCATGTATTTTGTTTTATTTTAAAAACAAGCAAAATGAAAACAAAAATGGTAAAAATACACACAAATATTTGACAGTATAATACATTGTTTTGTTCAAAATCATATTA